TAAACTATCTCTCCCCAGACTATCAGTGTGCTCCCTTCCTATTCCGCCATCTTGCCGGAATCCATTTCTTTTGTTTTATCTTTTGTCTTTTGTCTAATTGAAATATGTCATAAGATCTGTGTTAAAGTTCAGATAATATTTATTATAATTAATCTAGCCTTACTGAGGCTTTCAACTCTAATTTTTGTTATCTTTTTACTAAATTCCTTATTCATATAATGCATTTTCCTAATTTAATTAAACTATTTGCAGTCTGTGGATCTCTTTGAGTATCCTTATAATCATTCCTTTGAATTCTCTGTCAAATATCCTACCTCCATTTTTTTGGAGTCTGTTACTAAAGCATTATTGTGTACTGCCTTCTTTTTTTTAAAGATTTTATTTATTTATTTGAGAGGCATAGTTACAGACAGTGAGAGAGACAGAGAGAAAGGTCTTCTGTCTGTTGGTTTGCTCCCCAAATGGCCGGAGCTATGCTGATCTGAAGCCAGGAGCCAGATGCTTCTTCCCAGTCTCCCCTGTGGGTGCAGGGGCCCAAGGACTTGGGCCATCTTCTACTGCTTACCCAGGCCACAGCAGAGAGCTGCATTGGAAGAGGAACAGCCAGGACTAGAACTGGCACCCATATGGGATGCCGGCGCCACAGGCAGAGGATTAACCTACTGCGCCAAGGTACCAGCCCCCTGTGTATTGCCTTTTTATTATATACTTCTTGTTTTATTTCACTGATAGCTGTGCATAGGGCCAGCATTGTGACATACTGGGTTAAGCCACAACCTGCAGTGCTGGCATCCCATATGGGCAGCAGTTTGAGCCCCAGATGCCCCACTTCCAATCCAGCTCCCTGATAATGCACCTGGGAATGGCATAGAGGACATCCCAAGTGTTGAGCCCCTGTTCCCACGCTGGAGACCCAGAAAAGCTCCTGGCTCCTGAATCCTGGCTTCAGCCTGGCCTAGCTTCAGCCATTGCAGCTATTTGGGGAGTGAAACAGCAGATGGAAGACCTCTCTCTCTCACTCACTCTCTCTTTCTCTCTCTCTCTAACTCTGCCTTTTGAATAAATAAAAAAATCTTTAAAAAAAACAATATTTGTGCCTCTAGCTGATAGAGATCAGTTGTCTCTATCATTTGTAAAGGGTGGATTTGTGGTAAAAGGCTTTTTCCTCCAAAGATATGTCTTCAAATATTGTTTTGGTAGACCACTTTGGCTCTACTTCCAGTAGTATTGTCTCCTCATGTCTTCTACTACTGTATTCAATGACAGCACTAGTGGGAGTCTGGGCAAGCTGTTCAGTCTCAGTAAGAGTGTGTAGTTCCCAGTAGTGACCTCCAGGTTGGGGCTGTGATCATTGAAATACCAGCCCTCATTCCACTGTTGCTGGGTTCCCAGTAGCAAAATACAGCAGAGACAAATGGCTCTCCATGGTGCTAGAAGGAATTGTTCCAAAGGTGCAGTAGTACTAGCCTGAATTCCACTGAGGGCGTGTATGACCCATAATTCCCTAGGGAGACATAGAGTCACAAAGGATGGACTGCCAGTTCACAGGAGCAAGCACACCAAGTCTAAGGTTCCCAGAGAAGAGACTTCCTGCTGTGGTGAACCAGCTGTCCTCAGTATTGCAGGGCACTGCTAGGGCTAGTGTTGAGGTCACAGTTGCACTGTTGGATCTTGCTGAGTTTGTAGGGTTGCAATACTTATTTCAATATATCAGGATGTCTATGCGGTCACAGGGTTTGGGATATGCCAGGGTCTCTGTACCTAAGGTAGTGTGGACTCTAATAGTGGCCCCTTTCTCAAGATTATGTCATACTGCCACAACCTACACTTCAGATTTTAGGGGAGACAATCTGAGTTCCTTCTATGAAGCAAAGCTCAGGTAGCTCCCATTACTGGGCTTCAAGCTTGCAACTACTACACATCCCACATGTACCTGAAACTATCAGCATCTAGCATCCCTGGAGATGGAATCTGCTCCTTATCTTCTCCCCTGCCAATGGATTCCTCTGCCTGTGGAGTTAAGGTTGTAGTTGCAGGTGTATCTTGTTCCTCTCTTTATGCTGCCAGCCAAGGTTACTGTGTTCCACATGATTCCTTTGCTGAGTTCCAGTGTTCTCCCTCAGGCACTATTCTTGAAAAGCAGTTATTTACTCAGTATTTTGGTTTTTCTCTGCGGAGGATTAGGCTAGTGTTGGACACCTCTATTCATCTGTCTTGGAGTCTCAGTAGTTGTAAATTTTAAAAGTAGAGAACTTCCACTCTGACTATGACCTTGCCTAAATATGATCAGAGTCGGTGAACTCAAAAGACCTCCATAGCCTTGGCAACTCATGACAAGAGCCTAGGGTGATTACTGATGCCATAAACAAGAGTGTCAATTTGTTAAGTCAACAACAGAAGTCACGTGCACTTACTCCTCATGTAGGATCTCTGTCCTCAATGTGCTGTACATTGTGATTTAATGCTATAACTAGTACTCAAACAGTATTTTTCACTTTGTGTTTCTATGTGGGTGCAAACTGTTGAAATCTTTACTTAATATATGCTAAACTGATCTTCTGTATATAAAGAGAATCGAAAATGAATCTTGATGTGAATGGAAGGGGAGAAGGAGTGGGAAAGGGGAGGGTTGCAGGTGGGAGGGAAGTTATGGGGGGGAGCCACTGTAATCCATAAGCTGTACTTTGGAAATTTATATTCAGTAAATAAAAGTTAAAAAAAAATAAAATGATGGACATACATTATAAAAAAGTAGGTGTAAATGAGAGGAAAGATAACAAAAATTAAGTAAATTGAGGTATTAATCTACTGATGCATAAAGGCATGAACAATACAGGAAAAGATGTGGTTTGTCCCTGATATCATGGAGTATACAATCCTACAAGATATCTTAGAAATTAAATTCAAAAAATGGAAAGGGTGGGCAACCACCCACACAATCATACCATGACCACTAAAACTACAAGTTTCTTGTTCTAGATGCTGGTTCTATCTATAGTTCTTATATATGCATAAAAGACATCACTTATTTGCTATTCACTTAAATTAATGCTACCTCTCCAATATTCTTAATTATCTACAAGACCTACAGCCTTGGAAGTTCTCACAATTCCTGTAGAGAGAAAATACAAGCCAGCCTGTGTCAGCGGATCTCACTGGAGCAAAGGATGCAACTACCTGACACAGAGTTCCCTAGTAGCCCACATGCTAGAAAACTTATATGAGTATATAAAATCGTTGCTCTTACATTCTCCCCACTTGTCTCTCTCTCCCCATGTGTAAACACTTTAAAAATAATAATGTATAAATTAAAATTATTAATACTTGTTTTCCTTTCTAGTTTATTCCTAAATTACAAGTGACTTGGATAAAGTTCAAAATGCACTGACTAATATTAAAATAACTATAACAAGAACTAGTGGCTCCCAAAAAGGATTGAGAAGAAAACTTTTCAGATCAATTAAAAGATTAGGTAGGAAAGAGAGATTAAATAAAATGAAAAAGATGAAAGTATTTAGAAGTACAAGTTTAAGATATTATGACTCTGGAAGTGGTATGGAAATGACGAATGAAGCCTTACTTTATCATTTTATAGCCACTCTCTTGCCACTGATCAGCACCAAGCCTAAACCACATAACACAAAGGTGGGCAACTTGAAGCCAGACACTGACTGAAAACTAAGCTAATATGCAGGATTTAGAACTCCCTGATTCCTCTCTGAAGTTACTCTTAAAAGGCCTCTCTTGGAGAGGGAGGAGATCTATAGTTCGGCATACACTCCCTCGGACTTACCCATAAGGGTAAAGCTCAAAACTTGCCATGGGACTCCAAATCCCATTAAGTCGGCAGGTACGAATGCTATCTTACTAGTTAAAGTAATCAGTTCAAGTTCATAGCTGATCATGAAGAGAGATTGTCAGAGGGATCACATAAATAAGACCAAGTGTCTGCTAATAATAATTGATAGAATTAAAAAGGAGAGAATGATCCAACATGGGAAGCATGCCACACAGCAGACTCATAGAATGAACAATGCCCTAAACAACACTCTGGCCTCAGAATCAGCCCTTAAAACATTCAAATCTGGATAAAAAGCCCATGAGAGCATTTCAGGCATGGAAAGCCAAGACACTGTGGCAAAAAATGACCTGCATGAAAGATCTCTTTTAGTGATTTCCTAGTGGAAAGAAGGGACCATCAAAGAAGGAGGTTCCTTTCTCTGAAGGGAGGAGATAACTTCCACTTTGATTATGGCCTTGTCTAAATAAGATCAGAGTTAGTGAACTCAAGAGGCTTCCATAGCCTTGGCAGTTCATGACAAGAGCCTCAGGTGATTACTGATGTCATGAATAAGAGTGTCAATTGTTAAATCAACAGGAGTCACTGTGCACTTGCTCCTCTTGTAGGATCTATGTTCTTAATGTGTTTTACTATGAGAATTAACAGTAAAACTAGTCTTCAAACAGTACTTTATACTTGGTGTCTTTGTGGGTGCAAACTGTTGAAATCTTTACTCAGTATAGAGATCTTCTGTATATAGATAATTAAAATGAATCTTAATGAAGAATGGGATGGGAGAAGGAGTAGAAGATGGGATGGTTTCTGGGTAGGGGGGTGGTTATAGGGGGAAGAAATGCTACAATCCAAAAGTTGTACTTTTGAAATTTATATTTATTAAATAAAAGTTTTCTATAAAAAAAGAAAAAGCTGAACTGTTTCCTTCCATGTTAAAAAGTCTTCGGTTAAATTGCAGGGTTATTTTTCTGCCCTTTGGGAACTGAAGTAAAGAAAAGGCAGGGCAACATGCAGAGATCTTCAAAAAGTACAGGGGAAATATATATTATGAAGATAATTTACATGGATTTCAAAAATTTTTGCACTGAAATAAACTTACATTTTAATTACATTTAAAAAATAAGGCCTCTCTTGGGAAAACTGATTTTTCTCTTATTCTAAACATGCTGATTTTTCCCTTTTCTTCCCTTTCATTTTTCACCAGCTGAACCTTCAGAAATGAACAGTAAGTTCCATGCCTGTTCTCATTTGATAGCTGCCTTTGGCTTCCTACAAGGATCCTTTCCCTTCACTTGCATCCCTCTTGTGGGTATAAAAACACATGTTCCTCCATCTCTTTATCTTAACCCACTATCTAGTTGCTGTCTCGCCCCCTACAGAAATGAATGAATTGAAAATACAAACCACACTGATCAAAAAAGTATGGTAATCAAAGGAAGCTATCCAAAGTGTATAGTCATCTGTCAACAAGGGAGGGATAATGTTTTATCAGTAACTGAAAGCCTGCACAGGATAACAGCAATAGAAGAATAAAGGTTAAAGCAGCACTTTATTTAAAGAATTTAAAATTAAAGACATTTCCAATCCCACGCAGGATTTCAGGCAGTTTTAGCAGTTACTGAAAAAAAAAAAAAAAGAAAAGACAGTCATCTCCCTTTCCTGCAGCCTCCCAGACTGAGCAGGAGATAGATGGCCCTAGGTATAATGGCAAGTTTTCTGTGCTCTTCCATTGAGGAGAATGGTCATTCCATGGGCATTTCTGAGACTCTCAGAATAAAAGAAAAATTATGTCCTCTTTCACCAGCCTCTCCATACTAATTTTTCTGTTTGTTTTTCAGCTGCAGGATCCACTTGTAAGTTTGACTGTCACCTTCATTATGGAAATCCTTTGTCTCTGGCAGCAGTTAATGATCTTAATCGAAAATGTATCCACCCTTGTTAGGATAAACTAGCTTAAACGTCCAATTTCCTTCACCCCTTATTTTTCCATTACCCAGAAATCCACTAGGTCGTTAATAAGTTTCTTGGACAATCACTGACTCACATAAAAGTTAAAGATCAGAGGAAAACAAAGTTTCTCCATAGCTCTAAAGACTGTCATTCAGGGACTTTCTATGTAGAAAAAAATAAGAGAATTATGAAGATTACATTTTTTGTTCTCCAACTGTCACATACACAGGAAATCAGTCAGTTGTTTACTTGCTTCTCTGCTGTGAATTTGCCAAAGTCTAGCAATGTATACTGTTACCAGTGTTTTAACACATGAACTTGAAATGCCTATTTTTCGAGCCTTTTTGCTTTTTCATTATCCAGAATTCTACCACTTTTCTAGAAATTTCAAATGCCTTTAATCAGAAAAATATTTCAAGCAATTATACAAAGTATCTTTAAAGAGTTAATGGGGAAAGTTCATGGAAAAACTATGCATGTATCACAATTTTTGTACTAAAATGAGCTTATGTTTTAATTCCACTTTCCACAAAACTTTTTGGTGTATCCTCATATTACCAGGAGATTTTATGATTAGTATAAAAATGAGTAGGATAAGAAACAAGGGGGTAATAGGAAATCTCCTTGTTGTGCTGTAAAATTATCTCCTCATTTAATCAATAAATCTGTGCTCATTTAATTCTCTTGCACAGGACTCATTTGGTCTCTACATGTCCAAAAGTCTTTATCTGGCCAGATTGAGATACAAAGGGCTTAAAGTACAACTTGACCTCTTGCTATCTCATTATTACCAAAACTTTTCTGGGATATTAATGATATACTGAAAGTCATAACTATGGATTTACAGAAATATGAAGAGCAGAGAAAAAATATATAGTCATAAAGCTATCAACAAGAAATTAACTAAAAACATATAGAAAATAAAAATTGGTAACAGAGAAAGGAGAGGATAAGGAGTTTTTTATAACCATTTTCAATTGGGTGCTATTTTTTCACATTTGAGTTCCGAGATACCTAAAGAAAAATTTCCTCACAATACAGAGATTTTAGAAGCTTGATATTGCTATTTTCTCAATGTCTTGCTTTTATATTACCCATTATTGTCTCAGCTTACTGTTAATGTTATGGAAAAATCAAACTTCACTCACTTATATAAAAAAGAATGGGGGAGTTAAAATTGAACAAAAAAGAAAGGAAAAGGAGATACCTTTTTCTGTTCTACTTTAATTTCATTTGCCTGGAATATCTTTTTCCTCTGGCAGAGCTGGGATGCTGAGCTTGAAAAGCATATTACTTTACCAACTTACCTTCCATTACCAAAATTCCAAGTTGTTATTAATGATTCTTTGGAAAATTCACACTCTACTGATTGACATTAAAAGTAAATAAATACCAATAGGGAAAGTTTTTCCTACTGTTAATGACCTTACAAAGAGAGAATTCTCTAAATAGAAGGGGAAAAAGCTGTGGGAGAAAAAAGGTTGCTAAGATACATCTGTTTTTCAGCGGGTCCATCTCCAGCGCCCCATGGTAAGTTGAATTTGTCTGTCTACTGTTTTCTGTTGTTGCCATTTTCTACAAGGCCTGGGGACCTCTGTCCTGTCATTTCTAACTCTATGTGCAGAAACCTGAGATTCATGGCTTCCAGTTTCCTATGTCCTTGCACATCTAGCCTTTCCTGTAAGGGAAGCTTCCATTCACTTAATTTCTTCAATTTTAATTTGTACCTCCTATGTGCTTTAATTACATTATCTCATTTGATCCTAAAGAAAACCTATTAATCCCTTTAGTAAGGAATATGAAACTGAGATGAAATACATAGCCAAGAATACATAGTCATAGAACCATAATTTGAACGCACAACTGGTGTTACTAGTAAGCCTCTACATTACACAAATAGGCCTTCTTAGGAGGAAAACTTATTCCTTTCCAACAAATCTCTGCCAAGGCCTAATTTGTTGTTTTATGTTTATGTTTGTTTAGGTATGCCTTTAGCACCCCTGAGTAAGTACTCATTTATTTCTCTGCTTTGGTTCTTTTTGGTCCCCTTTACTGAACTTTTGTTACATTTGAGTTTCTTTTTCTTCTGTTGCTTCCTTTTTATCCACCCTCCTTTATGTTACAGATAATTAAAGAAAATACTGATTAATGGGGCAAGTGTTTGACACAGTGTTTAAGACAATACTTAGGGTGTTCACATCCCATATCAGAGTGTCTGGGTTCAAATCCTAGCCCCTCTGCTTCCAATCTACCTATATGCTAATGTGCACCCTGGAAAGCAACAGATAATGGTTCAAAAATGTGGGTCCCTTCTATCCATATGGAAGACCAGGATTGAGTTCCAGACTCCTGGGTTCTGCCTGCCACAGTGTGTGTGTGTGTGTGTACACGCACATGCGCGTACATGTGTATGTGTGTATTTGCCTTTCAATAAAAGTGAAAAAAACAATAATTTTTTTAAAAAGAAAACATAGATTGAAAGAAATCAAAACTCAAGAATATTAGAGGGCAGAGTGGTGGCACTGTAGGCTAAGCTGATTCACAGCACCAGCATTTCATATGAACACTGGCTCAAGTCCCACCTGCCTATTTTGCTCCAGCTCCTTGCTCAAGTGACTGGGAAAGCAGCAGGTTTTCCAACTACTTGGGCCCATGTCACCCACAGAGGAGATCTGGGTAGAGTTCCAGACTCCTGATCTGCAAGGTCTAGCCCTGGCCTTTGCAGCCAATTCAGCCATTTGGAGAGTGAACAGCAGCTGGAAGATTTCACTGTTTGTGTGTGTGTGTGTGTGTGCGTGTGTGTTTCTCTTTGTATGTATTTCAAATAAATAAATAAATCTTTTTAAGGAATGTTATTAAATAATAGTGATAGGCGGAATTTTTGAGAGCAAGTGAGCAAGAGAGTGCATAATTATGTTTAAATGGAAAGAGACTGTGAGTGTTCCCTCCAAGATTGTAATGCTATTCAAAGGAGCCAGAAATATCTATTGATCTATAAGATTTTTAAGATTATTCCAAAAGTTGCTTAGGTCCAAGAAGAAAAGAGGTCATTTAAGGAAATCCTACTTTTGACTTCATCACTCCATCGCTGCTTAATCTTCGTTCTAAGTTTGCACTGCAACTATTCTATAATATTGTATGGGATGCTTCCTTCTTTTGCCTACTCATATCTTCCTCTCACATATACCAGTTAAATATATTAGATATTATCATGTGTTTTCTGTTTGAGAAAATTAAATGGATTTGTTTTTTCCTTATATTTTAGTGATTTCACAGAGAACAACAAGTAAGTTCTTTATTTCTCAGCTGTTCGTATGTGGAGATTTTCTTAATTTTTGATTTTACTAAGTGCCCAAAAGATTGAGAACCTATATTTTCATATTTATATTTCCGCATTACCCTCCAGATTGACTGCAAGAAAAGTTTTAAAATTCATTCTGTAGAGTTTTCCATTTCTGAAGTAATGGATGCTAACAATGACTCAATATTTAATTCAGAGCAAGCACTAGAAATGGCAGTATTTAATATATTTACTAAGCAATATTTTTTTCATTCAAAAATATTTATTGGTAAGATGCTATGGGTGATACAAAGATGACAGACATAGATCCTGCCCATAAGGAGCTTACAGTCTAGTAGGGGAGATAGAACACATGTGGGATACATGGTCAGAGCTTATGTTTCCATAAGATGAATCTAGTATTGTATATATAAAGTAGTATGGAGTAAGAAGAGGTTAAGTGAAGCTGAGAGCCTACTGAAATTGCCTAGGTTAAGAGGAGGGATGGGAAGACTGTTGAGGTAGAATGGACAGGACTTAGCTGGGAGAGTGCATATGGGAGTCACAAAAAGGAAGCAGGTGATTTGGACTTGTAGCATGAGTGATGTTATGAACTCTTAAGAGTAATGAAGATACAAGTTTGAGAAAAGAAAAATCCCACAGAAAATAATGCAAAGTGCTTGGGACATACATAACAGCTGTAACAGTTTGTGTCCGCACACCAAGCAATCAGCTGATTGGAGATGAGATGCCTGAGTCTGGTTGGGAGAATTGACAGGGGGCTGGGTGCTCCTGACTATGAGAGCCTTGTGTGTTAGGACTGTGAAAACGCTGTGTCTGCGTATGAGGGCACAGGGTGTGACTGGGCCCTTGAGTAGTCACTGTGCTCAGCTCCACATGCTCAGGGCACCAGAATTCCTAGTGAGGGTCATTGCTGTAGGATCCATGCTCACACCTAGGACTGCATGGATCCTTTGTGTGGTTCTTGTGGCAGTTTTGAACAAATATTATACCCACTGGGGCTAGTGACCAAGTATTGGTCTCCTTGGAAGAGAGGAAGTGAGCATGAGACTACACCAACAGAGCAGATTAATGAACCCCTCTGATTGAAAAAAAAAGAAGAAGAAGATATTTACCATGCCCAACTTCAGTGTCACTTTGGACACTCCCCTCACACTGGAGCACTGAACAGAGCTCCCTAGCTACACCCAGCACATGCCTCAAGATACTCACTGAGAGACAATGGGAGAGGGGCTGAAGATGGCAGTATAGCAGCAAGGTGTGCTGAGTCATGCAGAGAGAAATTGATGAATAGAGGGGACAGTCAGGCGACAGAACCATGAAAGGTTGGCGCAGAGTGACATGGGAGCACGCCAGAGAATGCATGCCCAGGTAAAGGTGCCCAGAACTGCAGAAAGAGAACGGAACAAAGAACCAGTGGGAGGATGACTGCTGCTGCCTCTAATGCCACTGCTGCCGCCACTGCCGCTGCCACCTCTGACCTACCCTGGGATGGGCAGGTGAGACACATGCATGGTTGAGTGGGGAAGGAAATCAAAACATAGTGAATAGCACCTGCAGGAAGAGGGTGTGATCCAGGGGGACGAACTGAGAGACTGAACATGCCACAATCCCTCAGTGTCTCCCTCCCACCCACCACAACCAGAGCTGCAGCAGGCAGAGAGCAGCCATCTTGTTTGCTTACTTTGGGTGTGAAAGAGAGCAAACTCTGCTTTTGCCTCCCAAACACGCGAACTTCAGTGGTGGGACCACACCACCCAGGGAACAAGGACACAGCAGTTTGGAGCAAATCCCCACTCTTCGTGCAGGGGACACAGTTACAGGGGGCTGAATAAAGGAGGCCCAAGCACTTTAGGGAAAACAAAGGAACAGGGAGACCAGCCCCAGGGGGCAGAGCTTGGTACCTCAAAGCCCCGTACCAGCCTACTCAAATTACCAGAAATCAACAAACACTAGAAGGAGGAGCTGCCTGCTTATGCTGGCTATTGCTACAGACCCATAGCAGAGGGAAATCAACCTGAAAATTAAACCAAATAAAAATCTGAAGAACAAATGAAAAATCCTGAATAAGAATACAGAAGAACCTATGAACTCACCAATGGAGCAGGCTAAACCATCCATAATAGAGACTGAAGAAGAAGAATTTGAAGTCATGCCTGAAAAGGAATTCAGAAAATTAATAACATTACTTAGAAGTAATGAGAAACAGATTCAAGATTTGAATGAAAAGCATGCCCAAGGATTAGAGATCCTAAAGAGAAGCCAGAATGAAATACTGGAAATGAAAAACTCAATTGACCATATAAAAAACACTGTGGAATCCCTCAGAAATTGAACAGATGAAATAGAAGAGTGAATATCAGAACTTGAAGACAAACTTCCAAAATAATACAGTCAGATCAAACACAGGAAGAAGAAATTAGAAAATCAAAAAATACAGTTGGAGACCTACAAGATTCAATCAAGCATTGTAATGTCCCGATAACAGGAGTCCCTGAAGGTGTGGAAAGAGGAATAGATTGAAAGCATTTTCAATGAAATAATATCAGAAAACTTCCAACATAGGCAAATTGAAAGAAACAACCAAATTCAACAAATACACAGGAACCCCAACAAAATAGACCAGAAGAAAATTCACTGCAACACATTGTGGCAACATTCAGCTCAGTGAAACACAAAGAACAAATCCTAAAATATGCCAGAGAGAAACGGCAAATCACATCCAGAGATAATTCAATCAGA